CCGCCCAGGCCGCGAGGTAGGACCGTCCAGGGCCCGCGTCGCCGTCCCTGTGGGGAAGGGGCGCTGGACGAATTCCCTACCCCCACCCACGAGCACCTTTCGCTTCGCTGGGGGATAGTGGTCCAGCCGGGGTGGGGCACGGGGCGGAGCCACCCGGCGACGGGCGAGAGGGGAGAGCTGGCCCGGGGTCCTTGGAAACCTCCGTTTGTCTGTGGCTTTTTATAAAATCTCTTCACCCTCCCGCAGGCTGTGTGAGAATTAACCCTTTCAGACTAGTGGGCATCAACCGTCAAATGCCATTTGGCCCATAGTGGCCAAAGATGCTACTTGTTTTCTTTCATTCCTCACCCCGAATTCAACTGGAGATGGAGGCCTCCAGTGCTGAATTCGCCGTGTAGAAGATAACTTGGTGCAAGGTTGGGCGTCTTCCAGCTTCGAGTTAAGAATCTGTTCCGCCAGGCAGCTTGTTGTCTCCTATCTGGGGCCTGGGATAGGGGTTGGGAAGGAGGGTCTACTGTCCCAGACCAGCAGAAGGGCCTTGGCTGGCCAGGGGCCCTTGAAGGGAGGCCCTCTTCCATCCATCCCCACTGTCAGCTTACCACTGGTTAGGGGGAAAGGACCTGTGGCTGAGGGATTTGGGGGAGTAGGGAGTATTTGTGCCCCAGGTCAGACTGTAGCCCTGGACTTCTCAATGTACCAAGAGATGGAGGTGCAAATACACACACCCCGACACCCCTTCACTGTCACACACAGCACAACGCTGAGCATAGTTTTACACATAGACTCACCTGTACTGCCATACCCACATGCAGGTACACACAGTCAGACACACACCAGCTCAGGCCTGCACAGCGTCACACACACTCCCAGCCACAGCCCTAATGGGCAGAGCTGCTGGAGTCCTCTGGGGACAGAGACAAGGTGGCAGAGGCAGGCTGCCTGGGGCCTAAGGAAGCCTGAGGTCAGGGGCCCCAGCTGGGCTGGCTCCCTTGCCCCTAGACCTCCCATAATCTACTTTTTCTGCAGCTCCTTAGAGAGAGGCAGCCATGTGAGGGCAGCATCTAGCAGAGGCCTGGCACTGTGGGTGGGGTGACTGAGGAGACATGGTGTGTGCTAACAGCATTGTTTCGAAGCCAGGAGGCCTGTGTGCTACTTCCAGCTTTGTCACTCGACCTTGAGGGCAAGTTTTCTCCTTGGATCTATTGGTTTCTGCCTGCCTTCCTGCCTGCCTTCTACAGAGCCCCACCTTGGAGAGAGAGAGAAAGAGAACTATACTTGTGCTTAGGAAACTGACTATCAGGGAGACAGACACATGTACTTCTAGAATACAAAGCGATAAGTGCAAAGATGAGCTGCATACAAAGTGCGATGAGAACTCAAGAATAGGGGTTGTCTGGGAAACACTTCCCAGAGAGGTGGAGTTTGAGCGGGGTTTGAAGGATGAATAGAAATTTGTTAGATAAATAGATATAAATATATTTTGAACGCTGTGTGCCTAGCTCTATTATGTGCTGTAGTTGTACCTCTTTTAGACCTTACGCTTACCCTAAGAGGAGAGTGGAATCAGTCGTGGAATCTCAAGTGAGTTCTTGACTCTGCTTTGGTTTCCTCATCTATAAAATGAGGATAATAGATGAACATTATATAAATGAGTATTCATGTAAAATGCATAGAATACTGCCTTGAACACAATTACGTCATTCCCGAGTGGAGGACTCAGCACGAGCATGATGTGAGAGGCGTCCGCTGGGCAAGCAGGGACTCTGCTGAGGATCGGGGTGGGTCTGGCTGGCTGAGCAGGTACATCCTTCCTGGCGCTAGAACTCTACCTTTCCAGGTAGTGCAGGACTGTTCTCTAGTCAGGTGGTGTACAATGAGCTGTATTTTCTCAGCTGGATCTTGTAGACATTCTGGGCTACGAGTAGGAGGTGTGAAAAGTTAACGCTTGTTCCAAATTGTCAAACATTGGGTGGGCTGCAGGGAGTAACGTGAGATGAGGCTGAAAAGGTATGTTGGGCCCACATCTTTTTATTTTATTTTATTTTATTTTATTTTTTTGTGAGGAGATCAGCCCTGTGCTAACATCTGCCAATCCTCCTCGTTTTTTTGCTGAGGAAGACTGGCCCTGGGCTAACATCCGTGCCCATCTTCCTCCACTTTATATGGGATGCCACCACAGCACGGCCTAGCCAAGCGGTGCGTCGGTGCACGCCCAGGATCCGACCCGGTGAACCCTGGGCTGCCACAGCAGAGCGCATGCACTTAACCGCTTGCGCCACCGGGCCGGCCCCTGGGGCCACATCTTTAAGGGCCTTGAATCTATGCTCAGCAGTTGGCTATCTCTGGGTGGAGTGGGGCGACATGGTTTGCTTTATGTTGTACCAGCTGTGGCACTATAGGGAAGAAACTGGGATGAGAAGCGAGAAGGCCCGTTAGAAGGCTGGTACAAAAGTGCAGGTGAGAGTAATGACTTGGACTAGGGCCCTCGCCCTGGAATGAAGAGGCGGATGGGGACTAGAGACTTTCTGAGATAGAAAAGTCAGTTCTCAGTGAGCTGGCTATATAAGGAGGAAAAGAGCTGTTTAAAGATTTCTTGGTGTATGGTGTATCATCAACCTGGTGTATGGTGATGCGTTTCTCTGAGCTGGAGAACACAGGTGCAGCAAGCTTGGGGAGGATATTTTGGGGGCAGTTGAGTTTGAGGTGCCAAGAAACATCAGACGAGGATATCTAAAAAACACTTCCTCTCTGGTAAAGTGATGTGAATGGACTAGGTGACTGCTGAGGTTGTCTTCAAGCTTTGAGTTTTGTTGCTCGTGCTAGGTTGAGTGAGGCCAGTGATGTCTGGGGCCTGGTGAAGCCACACTTTTGTGGTTTCCCAAGGGCCACCATGAGACACAGAAAGGGAAGCCAGGGATTCCTGGGGGGTTAGGGACAAGGGCAGAGTACACAATGATTTAGAATAATCTTTAGGAACTTAGAGTTAAGATATAGAGCTTAAAACCTGGACACAAGTAGGCCTTTTCAAGACAGATAAATCAAATTCTTTGATACGTGGGGCTTTTCATTGATACTTTATATTAAAAAAAAAAAGAAAGCTTCTTGAAAGCTAAACTCAAATTGAGTCTGTTGTATAACTGGTGCACACTGAGTATCTGAGTTTCCTTGAGCAAGTTACTTAATCTCTTTTAACCTCAGTTTCCTGATATCTAAAATGGGATAGTGGATGTAACTACCTCATAGAATTGTTATGAGGATTAAATGAGTTGATATATGTAAAGCATTTAGAACAGGGCCTGGCACATATGAAGAACTTTATGAATGTAATTTATTATTTCCATGGCATTTTATATTCTCAAAGAACTACTGAGACATCTAAGGTAGGTAAGATGCATTTGAAACAGGAAAGACCAAAGCCACTTGAGGGCCAAAAAAGCAGAATATTCCTTAAGAGGAACTGATTAAGCTAGCAGGCAACAGGCAGCTGGTTAAGGGGCTCATCTGTTAGAATCACAGAATCTCAATTCAAGAGCCTTTGACAGGCTAGAAGGATGGTCAGATTCTAACAAGATGAATTAAGTTTTACAGGAACAAGAGGTGTGGCTTAAAAACACTTGGTGTGAAAAAGTCTTAAGGATTTTTGTCAAACTCAGCATTTGTCAAGCATATGAGGGTGCTGCCTTATATGCTAAGGGAACCTTGGCTGTATCAATAAGAGTATAGTGTCCAGAGAGTCACTGCTCAGAACACACCTGGGTACTGCTTTCCATACCCATCCCCAAGGGACAGTGACAATTTGGAGCCTGGTCAGGAAGAAGTGACCCAAATGAGGAGGGCACTTGGCATGCATGGAAAAATTGAAAGAAAAGTTACTTCTCTTTAAGTGTTTAAAGAACTTACATGGAAAAGAAGTTAGATTTGTCTGATTCTAGAAAGAAGAATCAAGTCCAGGTCAAAATTGCAGGGAAGGTTTTACCTCAACACTAGAGTTTTCTTATGACAGTGGAACAAATAGCGGTGGCTCAGGTGTGAGTTTCCTGTCCTTGAAGGTATGTAAGCAGAGACTAGACATTGACATCATGGATGGGGATGTTGTCAGGGGATCTAAGCAATGAGCTGTATGGGGATAGATTGATGGAGGGACGGGCGCAGACAAGTGCCCTCTGAGATGCAAGAAGCTGATGTAATCTAGGCCTGTGGCCTAATGGCTCCAGTCACGAACCATCCTGGGACTGTGGCTGCCCTCTCACTTGAAGTCATTTCTCTTGCAGGAAAACAAGACAAGAGGCCAAGTCTCCTCTTCAAGACGAGGAGAACTCTGAATCCCTGGATGAGGCGGGGACCTTGAACCCAGAGGTTACTCTATCTTTGGAGGGGACTTTGAGTTTAGAGGACATTCTGTACCTGGGGGACATAGACGACTTTGAGACACTGTATATGGAAGCGACTGAGCAGCCTGAGGAGACACTATATATCGAGGAGATCAGGCAGCCAGAAGAGGCACTGTACGTGGAAGAGCCTGTGAAGTGGGAGGAGACACTGGATGTGGAGGACACTGTGAAGCCAGATGAGATACAGTTTGTAGAAGAGCCCGTGAAGCCAGAAAAGACCGTAAATCCAGGGCAGATTGTTTATGGGGGAGAGATGGTTACAAGCGAAGAGAAACCTAACCCTGAGGAGAGCCTCAGAGCCGGGCCTACTCCCAGCACCGAGGTGAGCCCGAGCATGGAGGACCTGGAATTGCTAGAGGGGCGTTTCCAGCAATGTATCCAAGCTGTGGCCCAGCTGGAAGAGGAGAGGGATCAGCTCATCCATGAGCTTGTGTTGCTCCGGGAACCCGCCCTACAGGAGGTGCAACAAGTCCATCAGGACATCCTGGCTGCCTACAAACTGCATGCCCAAGCAGAGCTGGAGAGGGATGCGCTAAGAGAGGAGATCCGGCTGGTTAAGCAGAAGCTGTTCAAGGTGATGAAAGAATGTGTGGCCTACCAATACCAGCTGGAGAGCCGCCGGCAGGATGTGGCCCACTTTGCCGATTTCCGAGAAGTGCTGACTAAACGGGTAGCCCAGCTCTCGGAGGAACTGGCCCAGCTCCGGGATGCCTATCAGAAGCAGAAGGAGCAGTTACGGCAGCAACTAGAAGCACCTCCAAGCCAGAGGGATGGGCACTTCCTCCAGGAGAGCCGGCGGCTCTCTGCCCGGTTTGAGAACCTCATGGCAGAGAGTCGCCAGGGCCTAGAGGAGGAGTATGAGCCTCAGCTGCTGCGGCTCCTAGAGAGGAAAGAAGCTGCTGCCAAAGCTCTGCAGAAAACGCAGGCCGAGATCCAGGAGATGAAGGAGGCTCTGAGACCCCTGCAAGCAGAGGCCCGGCAGCTCCACCTGCAAAACAAGAACCTGGAGGACCAGATCACACTTGTGAGGCAAAAACGGGACGAGGAGGTGCAGCAGTACAGGGTAGGCCCACTGGGCAGGAAAGGAAGTGCGGTCACTTAGCCTGGGGCAGGAAAAGGTGACCGGGTCAGATGTCTTTTGGGCTAAAGGATAGTATCATGGGTAGGAAGAACAACTTCTTTGGGGCCATTCACTCACTTTTTCACTCCATTCTTCATTTCATTCATTCAGGCCTGTGCTAGGGGCTGAAAATTATCTGCACTTACTTTACATAGCACTTTTACAGCAATTCTCTCTTTTGATCCACTCATTAATCCTCCAAGTCAAATATTATCATTTTTGTATAGATGAGGAAACTGAGGCTCAGTGAGCTGGAGTAATTTGAACCCTGGTCTGACCAACCCCAAATATTTCAAGGCTCTTTCCATGGCACAATTTTCCAATTCTAAGTGAATCACACTTTATATACAGGAGGGAATGAGGCAAGGTAGAATGAATTCTTTCTCTACCCTCCCTTCATATTCATCCTCAAGTCCCACCTATCTGATCTCTGCCTTGAAGCTTTCCAGTCTTAAAACCGGGGTGAAACCTATAAATCTCTATTGCTCCTTTTCCTTTTTTGTGCATTTGTCATCATTTCACTTGTATTCAAGTTATTTCTGATTAAGTGTGAGCCAGTTCTAAACCCTTTATAGAACAAAGTGGGATATAAATACTAAGTGAATAAACAATTATGTCTGTCTCTCCCACAGAGCTTTCAGAAGGTAGGGAGTATGTTTTACTTATCTCTGCCACTCAGGCTCAGAGTACACATCAGTTAAGTGCTGACTTATGTGCTGCTGGGCACTATGAGGAGACTACAACATGGCGCCTTTCCGAGCAGTAGTTTTGTCTTTTGAAACACACATTCCTTTGGATAAACTTCAGAACCCTATGCCTCCCAGAAATTCTGATATATTTCTAAGAGAATGTCTTCTGTTGAAAATGGCTGTATTCACTTCACTCAAGATTTTGTCAAGCTTTCTGTAGCTTGTATTATGAAAATGGTGGTTTTTTTGGGTCATAATATTCAGTGTTTTCAAATTATGCATATGTGTACGACCCTCACCCACCCAACCCCCCTCCACTGCTGTTTTATTGGTTCAAAATCTAGTGAAAGGGCACTTATTTTTTCTTTCTGCATAAATACTATCTTTAACAGCTTATACTCACACAGACATTACATTAATAATTGTAACCCAGGGTAGTAAGTAACATGTTATTTAAGAGAGGTACAGGAAAGACTGCTATGGACAATGAGATTATTTTTAGCCATGGGTTAAATTAGAGAATCCTTCATGGAAGAAATATAATAAAAGCCACATACATAATTTTAAATTTTCTAATAGCCACATAAAAAAAGTAAAGATAAATAGCCATAACTAATATTTTATTTAACCCAGTATATCCAAAATATAATTAGTAACTTGGCTGCATGTGAAAGGTGAAAAACTGAAAGGCAAGTTGAACTGTAAAAGTAGGTTGGGGCAGATCACATTGGACTTTGAAATCCACTAGGGAGTCTGGACTTTATGCAGTGTCAGTTGCATCATTAAAGGTACTTAATCAAGAGAGTAACATGATTCTCTCTCTACTTTTAAAAAAAGTGCTGGTTGGGCCGGCCCCGTGGCTTAGCGGTTAAGTGCTGGTGCTCCGCTACTGGCGGCCCGGGTTCGGATCCCGGGTACGCACCGACACACCGCTTGTCCGGCCATGCTAAGGCCGCGTCCCACATACAGCAACTAGAAGGATGTGCAACTATGACATACAACTATCTACTGGGGCTTTGGGGAAAAAAAGGAGGAGGATTGGCAATAGATGTTAGCGCAGAGCCGGTCTTCCTCAGCAAAAAGAGGAGGATTAGCATGGATGTTAGCTCAGGGCTGATCTTCCTCACACACACAGACACACACAAAAAATAAATAAAAGAAGTGCTGGTGGCAGTGTGCAAAATGGGCTAGAGACCCAGAGGCAACGGAGACTAATTAGGAAGCTACTGTAAGTAAGAGGAAACAATACTGTGGGAATAAAAGGAAGGGGGAGGCTGCAAGAACAAATGCAGAATAAACTTGGTGACAATGAATGGGGCAGAGTGGTGAGAAGTCAGAGGATGCTGAGATTTCAGGGAAGGCTAACTAGGATGGTGGTCCCATTAAGTAGGGAATTCTCTGGATTGGTTTTCTGACAGTATTAGAGTTGTAGGATTTTTCTCCCCAGTGATTTTCATCACTGTACTGGATTTGTTTCCGATTTGATGATCTGTGCAGCCTTCCAAAGATCATTCTATGAAAACACTCTTAAAGAGTGTCTCCTATCATTATACCATAGTAAAAGTATGAATTAAGGTCTGAAGGAGCTAATTCTTCTTTCTGAAATGGCTTCCTAAACTGTGTTTGCCAAAGGTCATTTATGGCATGATTACTTTTCAAGGGTACACTTCCCTCTTAAAATCGTAAACTTTGCCTTTCATCGTCACCTATTCATTCAACAAATATTTTCTAAGTGCCTACTTACTATGTGCCAGGCAGTGAGCTACGTGCCGAGAGAGATGAGAAATGGGGCGGATGTGGAGGACACTGTGAGCCCAGATGAGATACAGTTTGTAGAAGAGCCCGTGAA